AGTTCTGCCACTTGTGAAATGTTCAAATGTCAGAAATGAATGAAAATCTGTCTGTGCTAAATCTGGTGAGTATGGAGAATGTGGAAGAAACTCCCATTCAAATGAAGATTGTTTTGCAGAAAATCTTCATGCTATAGATCAGTCGTTCTCAAATGATGAAGTGCGTTTCCTCGGTGTGGCTATAGCAGGTGAGTCGGAATGATTGAAAGATAAAAATTTAGAAACAGTTTCAAAAAAATTAATGTGCCAAAAATAAATTTGATTTCAAAATTTAAATTATTATTATGGATTACTTGTAATTGCATGCATGAGTCCCAGTATAAATAGTTATAAATAATTATTGACTGAATTTTATCATTGTGATATTTTTTCATTATATCAAGTATTAAGATTAGAGTAACGAGGGTCCGCACATTGGAGGAGAGAGTTATCAATGATAATATTCTGACTCGAACGAATCCGCAGTTATCTCCCCTTAATCCTTACACTAGACCTTCTTTGCCGTAGAGCTCCTTGCACCTTTTCACCGAGACTTTCCTTACCTTGTGCCGGTGTCGCTATACATGTACGTTTTATCACATAAAATTTGGTAAGGCGTGAGCAAGTTCTCATTCCGAAGATGCGGCCCAGAGAAAACAAAATGTGTGTGAATCACTGCCATAGAATAAAACTTTTTTTTTGTTTACCAAAGTAGGAAAATTTTAACAATGCTTCATTTGCCAAGTTGCTAACAATAAACGTTTGTAGAGATGATCCTTTTATTTTCCAGTAGCTTATAATGGAAGACACTTTTTATATTCATTTAAACACAAATCAAAGAGTTCTGTCGATGAAGTCCTGGTTTTGGCGTTGGCACTGGTTAAGAAAAAGAAAATGGTTATCACAAAATAAGGATTTTTTCCTTTTTGCTTTTTAAAACTCTAAAATGAAATATAATCAACACACTGTGGTATAGAAAAGATGCAAAGATACTAATTCCAGACGCAGTCTCCTATCAATCAACTTTGCTCCGGCCTTGGTTGGCTGACTCATAATTCATAGCGGTGAAGTACATAATTATCTTCCAAACACCCTAATGTGTGTGTGTGTGTGTGTGTGTATATATTTGAATAATGATTTGGTACCACAGAATAAATTAATGGACCTGAGGAAGCACAATTTTGTGGTCATTTTTTTATGGACCTAGGTACCTTACGGCCAACACTTCTTCAGGGACCAGTCTTTGGCAGAATTGATTTAACAAAATTGGTCAATACGTATGTGGAGGAAAAGATGAAGCACGTCTAAAATAAATTCACGATTAAAATATAAATGCGTAAATTTAAGAACCGTCTAACTACTCCAAAGTGAGTATAAAACAGAAAACGATAATCACTCACTGACATCCAAATAAGTGTAAAGATCGCAAAAATTCTCCTTTTGCCTGCAAAGAGATGGCTGCTCCAATATAAGACAAACAGTTTCTAACACATGCAAAGGGTGCTTAGACCTGCCCATATGCAAAATAGAGAATGAGTCAGTTGTGAAACAAAAAAAGAGCTCATTCTCTAATAGGTGTTGTTCGCACAAAAGCTTCACCACTATAATCAAATCTCATGTGCAGGTTTCGGGCTGTCAGTGTCTGTTGTGGATTCCGTGAATGGAATCCTGCACAAATAAATAAACAACGCCAGTAATTGAGATAGAAAAATAAGTGTATTAAACGTAAGAATACAGGAAGTGAAGATTAGTAGTCCAGGAATGCGGGTTAGTAGAAAGTATATGTACAAGTAAGTAAAGCCGTAATCATCTCTCTATCTCTGGACTCTTGTATAACTCTCTGAGAACACTCCGTGTCTGTCTCCGTATCTCTCAACCTGTCTCAACGTATCTCCACGCATCTCAACGTATCTCCACGTATTTCAACGTATCTTAACAGCAGGTATTCTCTTTGTCAGTATAAGTATACTTTGGACGAGTCCATCTTATGTAAAAAGGGGAGAGCCCCACAACAGTTTCCTAGGAACTGATCCGCTTGACCCTGATACGTCGAATTCGACGGGAGAGTCAGTATATATATATATATATATATATATATATATATATATATATATATATATATATATATATCAGTATAAAAATTAGGAGATCAGCCGGTTCCGCCATCTTGTTTTCAACCTTTCCGTATCTTCAGGCGATTTCGGTCAATTGATTTCCTAAAGTTTATTTAAAAAAAATAAAAAAATGGTGTGAAAGGGTCCGAAAACAAGCCCCTTCAGAACGACCTTTATTTCTCGATTTGTTAGGAATGACTAGATTAAATCAAACAATCGTTCTGTAATATCTTAGCTCTGAAGCTTACGTAGAAGACCAGCATGTCAAACTGCCAAATGCCTTTGAGATATGTAGAGCCACAGCTCGAGCTTCGCCGTTAGTATCACGAGTTTGATATACATATTTAGGGATGGCCGTAACCACATCAGCGGTAGACCGGGCAAAACGGAAGCCATATTTGTCAGAGAGTAGGTCGTAAAAGGCATGATGCTTAACCACTTCGGCATTGATTAAAGGTTCAAATACTTTGCTGGAAAGTGGTAGGAAACTAATAGGGTTATAGTTAAACGGGTTAGGAGGTTCTTCAGAGTTCTTAAAACGGGGACTATAAAGGAGGACTTCCAAGAAGCAGGAAGCAGCGAGGCAATAGTTGTAGAGTTTGAAGAGAACTGGAGCCAGCTCAGGAGCACATTTCTTTGGGACGACGGCTGGTTTTCGTGAAGCCTCCCTGATTTTTGTTAGTTTTTTGTCACAAATTATTTGGCTCTTTTCCAGCAAACTTCCGCCGTTTTCAGTCTTTTTTTCTTCTTCCTCTTTTTTATTTGAGGGTTACCTTCTCGTTAGTAGAGAGAGAGAGAGAGAGAGAGAGAGAGAGAGAGAGAGAGAGAGAGAGAGAGGTTTGAAAGGAAAACGCAAATGACTTCATTTGTATTATTTCTATTTTTCTTTATATATGTTATATTTTATTTTATATTTATCGGGACACCAAATCGTATAGAAAAATTAAACTCTTGTATCCGTTTAAGATTTGTAACATTAATGACATGATGTAAATATTCTTACGTTTAGCAAAGAAATATTTTATTTCAGAATAAATCATTTCTCTAAATATGTTACTGTTAAAAGAAAACGGGCCAAGCCGATAAGAGTAAAAATGATTATCTGAATAACAATTAAATATGGACGTTGAAAATGTTATCAAGAGAAAAATTTGCAATAAAAAAAAAAAAAAAAAAACACGAAGAAAATACTCAAGATATTATTTACATGTGGACTATTGTCCTCATCTTTGTTGTGATTATCACAGTGTTTCGGTCGTTGTGCCCTTCTTCAGGCGTCGGATAGACTTCAGGGAATTTCAGACTGAACTCATTAAACTAGTCACTCTGCTTTCCAGTTTTCGTCCATGTCTCGAGTTATCTTGTCTTGTTATTATTTAAGACGGCCCAGTTAATGCCAACCCTGTTTCTACTGTATCTGTGCAACCCGACCCAGGGATTGAACTCAATATTCTTATAGCACCAAATTCACTAATCGACATTTTAATTCACTCGACTGTTCTCAAGGCACCCGCTGATATAATACATCGAGACTAGTAAATTAAATCGTCGATTAATGAATTTCGTGATATAGTAATTGTGAGTGTCAGGACTGCAGACATTTAATAACAACAACACATCTTTTAAATGAAACATAAAAAAGGTTATTCGGTGAAGGAAAAGTAAGAGTAGAATGTCGGTTGAAATAACATTTTATAGATTCTTTTCGGAAATATACAATGACAATATAATGTTAAATTTTCCTTGCTGTGAAGTTTGTTTAATTAAGTAATTAAGTGTTTATCGTGAGATGTATGAACAGACTTACTTTATGGCAGTCAGCCTGATGTGTTTGTGAGTTCATAGACAAAGGGTTAGTTGGTGGGGGGCATACGTGTAGATCAAACTAGCCTCCGAAATTGTTTTGAGCCCCGAGAAGCAGTAGACATCTATTTTTATAGTAATGATTGTAATCCAACAAATATTGAAAAATATACATTGAATTTAATTCCAATACATTCCCTAGGCCGGGAAGTACACACATACACTCAATGGAAACAATGCTAGCGATAACAACAGAGCAGTATTAAGAAGAACAAGAGGGGATATCCCTAGGACAGTGGAACGGGAACTGCATAGATTAAATAAAGGAGTTAGTTCCAAATCCCCTGAAGTTTATCTGGAAGAACAGAGATTTGACAAAAGCCGGAGGGCACAACTTTCGAATCGTTGTGATAATAACAATAACGATGAAGAGATTTACAGATGAAAAGATTTCGAATGTAAATGATGTAAATAATGATATCTGCTCGTTTCAGAAATTCAGACAGGAGGTTGAAAACATTAATCACCGAATCACAGAAAAAAAAAGAAAAAAAAAACTTCACACAAGATAAAATAATGCGGATAAGAGAACTCTTTAAAAATAGAGGGAATAATGAAGGCACTTTCATTTCAGAGATTGAGGCAACTATAAGCAGGTCTTAGCCTTTATTTTCAAATAAGTTATTAATGGATATTTCTCGACACTTATATTGCAGAAACGTTCAGAGAAAAGCGTCTGCTATCAATTCAATCTAAGGTCCTGATTTCAAAAGATATTTTTCTCGTCGAAGTATTTATTTTGTGAAGTATGAATAGCCCTAATAAATATTAATAAATATTACAACAGCTTTGATAAGCGTGTGTCTAGGCAAAAACGTACTCATTTGACCTATGCATTTTGAAAAGATCAAACGATATATATATATATATATATATATATATATATATATATATATATATATATATATAAAGCAGAAATAATAAAGATGCAGACTAATAAATGAAACAACGAAAGAAAACCGAAACTTAACTTGTAATTATGACTGAAAATTAGAAGTTTCTTTTGACGACATCAGGAGAAACCATTGGAAAGAAAAATGGCTGCTATTGGTCGTGCTGATTAAAGACGCAGAAAGAGGAGCAGGAAAATGCGAGCGAGGAAGACGACGAGAGAGAAAAAGCGAAGGAGAATAGGATAAAGAAAGAGGCAGCGCAAGAATAAGATAAGGTGGAGAGGAGGATGTGGAAGAAGAAGAAGAAGAAGTAAAAAAAGGAAAAGGAAAATGAAGCAGCAGTGGAGAATTTATAACAACACGAGGAGTAGTGATAAGAAAAGCAGAAGGATAAATAAGAACTGGAGGAGTAGGAGGAGGTAGAAGAAGTGTAAAGGGGAGAAGGGACTAGGAATAGGAGGAGGTAGAAGAAGAGTAGAAGGAAGGAAACGAGAGTAAGAGGAATAGGAGGGGGTAAAAGAAGTAAAGAGCAGTGTAGGAGTAAGAGGAGTAGGAAGCGGTAAAAGAGAGAACTTAGGGAAGAGAAGTAGAAAGAGGTAGAAGAAGGAGGAAGAAAAAGAGCAAAGGAAAGCACATGAGGTGAAAAAGGGTGAGAAAAGGCGTAGGGTTAGAAGAAAGGTAGAGGGACAGTAATAATGAGCTGATAAAGAATGTCAAAAAATAAAAAAGGAAAGAAAAACAACCGAAAAGTTGTAGAAGGAAGGAAGGAAGGAAGGAAGGAAGGAAGGAGAAAGAAGGAAGGAAAGGAGGAAGAAGGAAAGAAAGAAGAAAATGCAACTGGATAAGGAATAAATAGGTGGAGAAATTGAAAAAGCAAGAAGAAAGCGCCCACGAGAGGGAAGAAGAAAAAGTTCCCTCCTCATCCAAGAAAAACGAAGGAAGATAAGCCAAAAAACAAAACGTGGGGTAAAAGAAGGAAGAAGTGAAAGTAAGAAATAAAGAAAAGAATGAAGAAAAGAAAGAAGGAAACAAAGAAGAAATAAGGAAAAAAATTGAAAGAAAAGTAAAGGAAGAAATAGAAAAGGGAATATAGATTTTGAAAAATAATAAGAATGAAAAAAAGGAGTAAAAAGAAAAAAAAGTAGGCCAAGAAGAACGAGACATGAATAATGTAAAGAGTAATGAAAAAGAAAATAGGAAAAGGGAATGAAGGAAAACGAAAAGAATAAAAGAAAAGCAAAGGAAAAAGAAAAAGAAGAAAGGAAAGTGGATAGTAAAAAGAAAGGACAAAATGAAGATATATATATATATATATATATATATATATATATATATAGATAGATAGATAGATAGATAGATAATATTAGTGGTCAATATATATATATATATATATATATATATATATATATATACATAAATTCCCAAGAGGATAGAATCCAGGTAGAACCCAATGTCCAGGACAGAGTAAAAATAAAATATAATATGCTCAAACATTAATATTCTCTGGTTATAATTGGAATCGTAATCATGATCCAATTCATCAGACCTACAAATTCAAAAAGAATTTTGAATTTGTAGGTCTGACGATTTGGATCGTCATTACGATTCCAATGTAATAAATTATAACCATGGAATTTTAGTATTTGAGCATTTGATATTTTATTATATCTATCTATCTATCTATCTATCTATCTATCTATCTATCTATCTATCTATCTATCTAATGAAAATTAATCCCCGAAAGGGAAGAAGAAAAAAAGAAATGTAGAAAGAAAGAAGGAAGAAGAAGAGAGAAAACGAAAAGAAAAAAAGAGAAATATTGATAAAAAGAATTTCTGTCGTGTTAAGAAAGAATACAATAAACAAACAATTAAAGAAAGAAAGAAGAAAAAGAAAAAAAATCTGTGGCGAGAAAGAGAAAAAGAATGAAAAAGAAAGAAAAAAAAACGAGAAGAAAAGAAAGAACCTAAAATAAAGAAAAAAAAGACGCGCATAATGGCAAGAAAGAAGAAAATATAAAAAAGAACGGCCATAAAAAGAAAGAAATGGAGAAGATACACAGCAGTAAGAGGCTGGTTCCCCTTAAGATTACTGAAGTTAAGCAACGTCGAGCATGTTTAGTAACTGTAGCTGCATGTGAATACCAGATGCAGTAAGCTTGCATGTAAAGCTCGTGTAATGGATAACGGCTCAGAATTTAAATTCGGAGAGCCGAGTTCGAATTCCAGTCAGGTTCGTCATATTCACTCACGCGCAAATACCCTTGGGGAAAGGTATGAATTCACCTCTTCTCCCCCCAGATATGGGTTAATTAGTAGGACTTATATCAATAAATCATTATTTCTCCTCAAATTCTTGCAATCTGAAAATATTTTCTGGCTTTAAATAATCTGCATTTGTAAAAAAAAATCAATTAGTTACTGTGCTAAGAAAGAAAGAATGAAAGAAAGAAAGATGAAAGAGATTCACATTGTGGCAAGAAAGAGAAAAAGAAAGAAAGGCAAAAAGAAAGATGAAAGGGATGAATGCGGTGTTAAGAAAAGAAAGATGAAAGAAGACATGCAAAAGACGCACATCATAGTAAGAAAGAGAAGGAAAAAGAAAGAAAGAAAGAACAAATGAAAGAAAAGGGTCAAAGACTTTTATAGTGTTAAGAAAGGGAATAAAAAAGAAAGGAAGATAGATGGAAGTTGATAGGAACACATGTAGTGGTAAGAAAAAGAAAGAATGAAAAAGTAAAAAAGAAAAAAAAAACGGACATTGTGGTAAGAAAGAGAAAAACATAAAATGGGAAAAACATGCAAAGTGACAAAAGATTGAATAAAAAAAACTAATTAGGAAGAAAAATGAAGAACGAGGAAAAGGCGAATGAAGAAAAAAGGCGAATGAAGAAAAAAGGCGAATGAAGTAAAAGGAAGAAGAATAAAGAAATAACACCACAGTAATGCTGCTGCTGATGATGATTGTAAAAAAAAATGAGAAGGATCGATATATGCCATCGCTTATCAATTTTCACACATTGATAGACGGCTGTAAAGTGAGAAGCAATGGGAAATAAAGCCCAGAGATTAATGTCAAAACGATTGGGTTCGATAGAAAATTATAATTTAACACCTGAAAGAGAGACTGGTGTGCAGTCATTGCCAAAGTGATTTTAGGTCGATCGGCGTCGTTCGGTTTTGTTGGCTATGAGGAAATTCGATGAAATTTTCGATTTTTTTTCCTGTTGAAGATTACTCAACGATGTCCATCTTTACTTGCGTTACTTAAGCAGGGTACGATACAGGGTCAACATGGATGAAACACGTGATAGAAAACTTATTAAGTTGCATCAGTTTTCAAAATAAAGTGTGTCTGTCTGCCTTGAAAAAACAGTATACAAAATTCAAAATAAGAGTCTGCGATGTAGTCGATCCTTACCTGCTATCTTGGTTTCAGTCGATTTCTCACCGACGTGAGATGGCTTCACTCTTTTCTTTCTACAAATATTTTCATGGCAGTTGTCCTGGTGAGCTTTCCTCCTTGGTGTCTCAACTGCATGAATTTAAGCGCGCTACTAGATTGGCAATTAGGTCTCACCGTTTTACTGTTGAAATAGCTAGATGCACACTATTTACATTCTTCGGACTATAGTCCTCATATTTGTCGCCATATTTATTACAACGTTTCGGCCGTTGTACGCTCCGGCCTTCTTCAGGTGGTTGGAATGTCGAACTGAACCCTTTACTTCGCTCACTGAGGTAGACTGTTCTAATTCTATGTGCCGACCAAGCATAGAAATATATACAATATGGGAACCAGTAATAAGGCGTGCCAAAGAAAAGCGATAACAACAACAAAAATTGCAATATGAACTCTGGTAAAAACATGAAATGATAACAGCAAAAATTGCAATATGAGCAATGGTAAAAATGGTTGCTGAAGGCATTAGGTTTATAATACCCAGAAATTCATACACAGATGTCGTCAAGGACACATGGAAAGGCGTTAGTTAGATGCAGTGACAGGACCAAAAGTGTGTGAGTTCAATACCTAATTAAGGCGGTGGAGGACTTGGAGAGGGGAGATAACAGATAACTGACATCCATTAGACGTGGAACTAAATTAATTAACTAAATTTTAGTACTATTATTCTCTTTTACTATCTAGCTTAGTATTTATCAACCACACTTTTTTAAAATTCAAGGTGAAATTGTAGAATGACAAAGAAATCTGGTGCGAACTTAAAATTTAATAAGGAAATTTGAAAATTGGAAATTTTGGTTTAACATTCCCAAAGAAGATTTGCGATACAGTTTTCATTTAAAGGGATTTATGAAGAATCTTCTATTTTTTTTTTTAGAGAGACCGATAATAACTGATTTAAGTTAAATCTTTTAAAGAGGGCAAAAGGATTTAAATTTCATTGGGTAGGGCTTTACTCTCCTACTAGAAGTAGAGGACGTAGCCATTAGTTGTCACAGAGTCCTTTTTTTTCCGGGTTTTACATTTTCACAAATGTAAAAAGTAAAAGACTGAATGACTATTTCTTTGAAAAGGCATCGGAATATTCATAGTCAGTTTCAAGTAAAAGAAAAAAAAATCCATTAAGTGTAGTAATCCAGCAACAATTAACATTAAGTTAATAAACAAGTTTGTTTAAAGGCATATCAACACCTCTATGGGTTATTAATGCCAAAATCTAAATATTTTGAACACTGTTTTATGGCTTCAAATACAGGTAAAATGCATTGTTTGAGATTTTTCTATAAAATCTATTGCTGGTAATTTTGATTTAAAAATGTATTGTTAGTAATTCCTTTATAAATAAGTATGTATATTATAGAGAAATACATGATACTTAAAAGTAAGTTGAACTATACTGATTACACTCCAAAGCAGTACTTATATAGTTTATAGGTATCACCTTGCTTCACCCCCAAATCTTGATGTTGGTAACATTTCAGCCAATCCATTCTTCAAACTTTATCAGGTGTATAGAATTTAACCATCTCCTTCAACCAAACATCACCTGAGAAGAGAAAGTTGGTTGATTTTGTTTAGTGGCATATCAACCTCTATGGATTATTTAATGCCGAATTCTAAATGTTTCGGACAAAAATTTTATGGCTTTAACTAAATATATACTATAAATAGGTATTGTTGGTTGGCTGATTTTATTTAGTGGCATATCAACCTCTATGGGTTATTTAATGCCAAAATCTAAATATTTTGAACACAGTTACATGCCTTCAACTATAAATAAAATTGTTGGTCATATTACTATAAAATTTATTTTTGCTAATTCTGCTTTAAAAATGTATTGTTGGTAATTGTATTATAAATATATATTGTTGGTAATTTTTTATATAAACATGTATTGCTGGTATTTTTTCTATAAAAATGTAATTTTATAGTTTCATAGATTTTGTTTGGAGGTTCATTTTTTGCCCATAGCTGGAACCCTAACAGGTGCTAATACCATGGGTCAGGGCGAACCTGGGAACAACAGCAATTAGGAGGTGGTTCCACACTTCTCAAAACCCTTTAATTTCCCGATCAGAGGCCTTGCTGCCCGATGTAGTTTATCGTCATACCCAGGACTATAATAAGAAAATAATCTACGTACGCACACACACACACACACACACACACACACACACACACACACACACACACACACACACATATATATATATATATATATATATATATAGAGAGAGAGAGAGAGAGAGCAAGAGCGAGAGAGACAGAGACAGAGAGAGACAGAGACAGAGAGAAAGAGCAAGGTTTAAAAGAGAGACTTGAAACAACAAAAATATGGCTCTACAGAAGGATGCTGAGAATACCATAGACTGAACATGTGAGCAACCATAAAGTTTTAGGGAAAGTAGAAATAAAAAGGAAACTTATATTTAACATCAGGAAGAGACAGTTGAGGTTTCTGGGGGACATAACGAGGAAGGAGGGCTTGGAGAATCTGATACTCACAGGACAGATTGAATGCAAGAGAGATAGAGAAAAACAACGCATAACATACTTAGTGAGCTTGAGTAAATGGATAGCCAAAAAGAGCTTAAGAGAAATAATTGAAAGACAAAATTTATTAGGAGCTGCAAGGGACAGAAAGTTGGAGGAAGCCATAATCCCCTACGTCCTGAAGGGACACGGTACATAAAGAAGAAGGAGGCAAAAGGGAAAGGATTATCAACTCTCTAAAGATTAAGGAATTTAGCATCACGTTTAAAATAACAAAGACTTTACGATATTGAGTCACCCCCCCACGATGGTGTCATGTGGCACAAGGCCTTTTTAACGTGGGCATTCCGACTTTACTTTGACATGGAAGCCTTGTGCTTGGTATATCTAGCTTTTTAAAAAATATTTAAAAATACTTTAATTTTTTTTTAAAGATAATAACATTTCATAAACTATTCTTCTGTTGACCTGGGGCGCACCTGGCTACCTTTCAAGGCGCATAAGTGTGCCCGAGTGTTCTTCATGTGCTATTTCCTCTCAGGACGTTGGCGATCATATATATATATATATATATATAGGTAACGAAAATCTTGGTAATCCGTATGGATAATCCCAAGGAGGATGAAATACGGAGAGCTCAATGTTAAGTCAGAGCGAATAATTTAATTTAAAGAAAAAACAGACCACTTTAAGGTTCCATTGTTATAATTTATTTCACCAGAGATTTTATTTTTCTTTGGATCTTCAGACTTCACTTTCAAGGGTCAAAAATGAATTTAAAATTCACACTTTTGAAGGGCAGTATTAAGCTTATATAAGGTGACATAGAGGGTGGTGAGGGATAGCGTGAGAGACATGGTCGAGATTTAGTAAGGGAAAGGAAAAGTTTTAAAATTTATTTTTACTTTTTATTACAATACTTAATATTGAGGAGGGGGTGGGTAAGGATCAGACATTGACCTATTTAATCGGCAAACTCACCAGAAAAGATACGGGAAAAAAAAAAAAGAAAAAAGGGGGAAATAAAGAGATAAGATATAAGAAATGGACGTAGGGCTTTGAAGGAAGGAGAGGGGTGGTATAACTTGATGTTTGGGCAATTTAGAAAAACACAGATTTTAACGCTTGATAGTAATTTAAATGTTTAAATACTCCACAAATAAACTAGATTTAATGCTTGATAGTAATTTAAATATTTAACTTCTCCACAAATAAATTAGGGGTTTAATATAAACTGAATATTATATTAATAAACAAATATAGAAATAAAAATAAAAAGATACTAATAGTAATATTATAATATTGTGAATGACGGTTAAGGTAACATCTTTTTTTAGTTAGAGTCTAATTAATCAATTTAATCTAAAGTTATTTTTACATGAGTAATATTTCTTAATTAAAGTTTAAGTTTCAAATGAAGATGAAGTAAGATTTGAGGGTACTAATAATAGAATTTACTGTTTTTACATACACTACATACATATTTACGTAAATACACATACACATATATTCATATACATGTACAATTACATATATAACTACATACACATGTATCGATACACATCGGTATACACGCACATACATACACAAATATTTACATATACATATTTCCACATGCATCCCTCTTTATACATATTTAAATTTTATCTTAAATTTTACAGTTAACGTTAGATAGTGAATTAAGTTTTTAAATTTAAAAAAAATTTTTTTAATTTTAATATCGTGAATAATGGTTAAGGAGTAATATATTTTAATTTAAATCTAAGTGATCAATTTAAACTGAGATTATCTCCAGATGAGTAAAATTTCTAATTTTTCGAGACTAATTAGAGATTATTTCAAGATGAAGTAAGATTAGAAGGTAATACAAGAATTAGAAGGTAATAAAGAAATTTCTGTCTTTACATTAAATCTCTGTATATACAAACATACACGCATATATATATATATATATATATATATATATATATATATATATATATATCTTATACATATATTATACATATATTCATATACACACATATATAATTCCGTAAATATATATATACACATATACATATACAAATATATATGCAACCCCATACACATGAATCGATATATATATATATATATATATATACATAACTTTACAAATACACACACACACACACACATATATACATATTTACACACGTATCCACATA